GTGATGTTCCCGATCGATTCTTAAACGAGGAGACCTAACCGATCGACAAAGGTTAGATCAACTCTTCAGTAACATCGACCTGCAACACGGTTCTGCGACAGACATGTTGCAACGGATGAGAGAGATTATAGACACAAGAACTTTCGACGAAGATCTATTTAAACAACTCTTCTTATCAAAACTTTCTCAACAGGTGCAAGCAGTTCTGGTCTCGTTCCAGAACAACGCCCTAGACGAGCTAGCTGCATCTGCCGACCGCATTTTAGAAATTACGAAACCTTCTACTACCGAGGTATTTTCAGTCAAAGAAAAGCCTCACACGACTCAGAATGATATAACCGACTTATGTCACACACTCACGCGTTATCTTAGTCTTCGTACCGACCGTAAGAGATCGCGCACCCCACGTAGAAGCATTTCTCGTAAGCGATCTGTCTCTAGACCACGAGAGACAGATAACCCCGACTGGTGCTGGTATCACAACCAGTATGGAAAGTTTTCCAGAAATTGCAGAAAACCCTGAAATTTTCCCAACACCAAACCGAGTGACTCGAAAAACAACTCGGGAAACTTCAAAGCCGGCACGCGTTAACGGCAACCGTAGCCGGCGAACAAAGCCGTCTGTTATTCGTCACAGATGTGACAACGAGAGTTCGCTACCTCGTCAACACTGGCGCAGAAATTAGCGTTCTCCCAGCAAATCCTAACGACCGGCTTCACGAATCGACCCTAAACTTACAGGCGGCAAACGGAAAACCGATCGCTACGTATGGCAAAAGGTACGTTTACCTTAACGTGGGTTTACGCAAACCCATTCACTAGATTTTCGTTGTTGCAGATGTTTCTATGCCAATCATTGGTATGGACCTTCTACAACACCATAATCTGATCATCGACACTCGCAAACGGAGGCTAGTAGACGGAAACATTAATTTGTCCGTTTGCGTTACTTCCTTTACTGGTTGTAGAGTATCCGCAGTCACAGTTAAACATATGATAGACCCACTCTATCAACCACTACTCGATAAGTACCCTGGGATACAACAAACTCAACCGAAACTACCGTGTGTAACCAGCAATGTTACACATCACATCACGACTACAGGACCACCTGTATTCGCTAAAGCACGACGACTAGCTCCTGAAAAGCTAAGGTTAGCGAAAAACGAATTCGACCATATGATGGACTTAGGGATCATACGACCGTCAAGTAGCCCATATGCATCTCCGTCGCACATGGTCCCTAAAAAGGACAGCAAATATTGGCGTCCAACTGGTGACTATCGGCGATTGAACGCGAAAACCATTCCCGATCGTTACCCGTTGCCTCACATTCACGATTTGACAGCTACTTTGAAAGGTACAACTGTCTTTTCGAAAATCGACTGGGTTAAAGCGTATAACCAAATCCCCATGGCTACTGACGAAATACAGAAAACAGCTATCATAACTCCCTTCGGACTATGAATTTTTGCGAATGCCTTTCGGTCTAAGGAATGCTGCTCAAACATCCCGAAGATTCATAGACGACGTTTTTCGAGGTCTCAACTTCGTACATGCGTATGTTGATGACTGTCTAATCACAAGTCCGGACAGAGAAACACATCTCAAGCATCTGGATCTTGTTTTCGAACGACTACAAAAACATGGCATTACTGTAAACGTTCAGAAATGCCAAATTGGAACCGACTCATTAGACTTTCTGGGACACACTATCGATGCTCAAGGTATCCGACTCCTTAGAACCAAAGTGACGACCATTCTGGATTACCCAGAACCGACCACCGTCAAGCAATTACGCACGTTTAACGGCCTGGTAAGTTTCTATTGACGTTTCATACCGAAATGCGCATTACTCATGAAACCTCTGACCGACCAACTTCGTGGAAATGCGAAATCCATTAATTTGGACGACACTGCACGAAAAGCATTCTCCACAGTTAAGGAACTGATTGCTAAAGCATCAATACTCGCACATCAGGACACCGAAGCACCCATTAGTATCGCAGTAGACGCATCCGACTCGGCAATCGGAGGAGTCCTTCAACAATGGGTTAACAACTTTTGGCAACCCTTGGCATTTTGCTCTAGAAGGTTGCTAGACACCGAATCGACGTACAGCACATTCGGTAGGGAACTCCTAGCTATGTATTGTGTTGTACGGCATTGTCAACACTATATCGAAGGCCGTGAATTCACTCTTCTCACCGACCATAAACCGCTCACTTTCTCGTTAAGCTCTCCTTCTGACAAGTACTCTCCCCGTGAGTCTCGACAACTGGACTACATTTCGCAGTTTACTTCAGATATTCAACATATTTCTGGAGCAAACAAAGTAGTTGCAGACGCCTTATCTCGCATAACTTCCTTGAACAGTTTCCAAGGAATCGACCTTCTTAAACTCACCCAGCTTCAAAAAGAAGACACTGATCTTCAGCACGAGTTATCGTCCACAACCCTTAAACTACGCATCAAACACATGGGAACAGGTAAGGAAACCTTACTTTGTGACACATCCACAGGTATGGATCGCCCAATCGTGCCGAAACATTATCCACGCAATGTCTTCAACACATTGCACAAACATTCTCATCGAGGTGTTCGTGCAACCATCAAGCTTATAGCAGAACGGTTTTGCTGGCCTGGTATGAATAAAGACGTGAGGGAGTGGGCACGCTCCTGTGTAAGCTGCCAAAAATCTAAGGTTATCAGACACAATAAATGTCCCTTAGGCTCGTTTAAAACTCACGATGCTCGTTTCGACCATGTTCATCTGGATTTGGTAGGACTTTTACCAGATTCAAATGGATACGCCTACCTCTTAACCTGCGTAGACCGTTTCACTCGATGGCCAGAAGCAGTACCTATCAAGGACATCACTGCTGAAACAGTGGCCCGCACCTTCGTCGAACGATGGGTAGCAAACTTCGGCTGCCCTTCAACCATCACTACAGACCGCGGACGCCAGTTTGAATCTGAACTTTTCCGTCGTCTGACCACACTTTTATGAATCACTCGCTTCCGAACGACTGCTTACCACCCACAAGCAAACGGGTTGGTAGAACGTTTTCACCGACAACTAAAAGCTTCACTATCAGCTGCAAACGTTTCACAGTGGACCGACGCTCTTCCACTTGTCTTACTAGGTACCCGCAATGCAGCGAAAACTGACATTGGATACACTGCGGCTCGACCCGTTTATGGAACAACACTTCGACTTCCAGGAGAATTCGTGGATCCTTCATCCTCTTCAATGAACATGGATCTAACCTCCTACACGAACAGGCTTATAAACGCAATGCGTTCAGTTAAACCTGATTCCACTCGACCTTAATCAACTGATGTTTTCGTTCAACCTGACTTACGATATAGTACACACGTTTTCGTTCGTCGAGACTCGCATCGACGACCTTTCGAATCAGCGTACAAAGGACCTTTCAAAGTTCTTCAACGTGAATCTAAGTACTATATAATCGATAAGAACGAAACAAACGATAGCATCAGCATAGATCGCTTGAAAGCAGCGTATGTAGAAGGAAATCCTATTCACGTCGATTTCCCTTCTGTACAATCGCACAACGCGACTCCTACACTCATAATTCCTCAACCGACAACCAACACTAGCGATGATACTCCGAATGTATCTGAAAATATACCTAAAACGACGCGTTCTGGAAGAAGAGTAAGATTTCCAGAACATTTAAACGACTACTGCACGTAAGGCACTACTCGACATTTTGTATTATCTCGATCTTTCTTTTCAACGATAATTTTTTTTTAAAAATAGACAATTTTATTATGCCTATATATTTATATTTTTATTTAAAAAAAACAAAACGAAACAAAACACAATTTTTTAACGCTATTACGTGTGTTTGAGTATATTTTCTTTTTTTCGCCGACATTGTGTTTTTACGCACATACGAGTGTATTTCGACATGAACTTACACTCTCTTTTTTCTTTTCCAGGACGGCTGGAAAAGAACGATGCAGTTTACGAGGAGTCGAAATTTTCGTTGTAACTCTTTCTTTTTTTACTATGTTGTACCTCCGTCCCATATAGTAAGGAAAGACGACCAGACGCTGCTACACTTAGTAAGCTATCAGAAGAGTGTTTACCAACGACAAACTCGTTGGGTTTAAACTTCTGGCTGACCACGTCTTAGGGTCGTCACTGCCCCACTAGGAGGGGAGTGATCTGTAGCGGTAAATAAATCCCCAAAATAAATAGCTCTAAGTTTTCGACATTGGATGCTGACCATATGTTTTAGTGAACTCATCTAGCTGAAGGCGCTCGGTCAGGCATCCGCACCAGATCACGTGTGGTAACGCCGTGCTCAACATCAACCGCAATCGCTAGCTAGATTAGATCAGAGAATTCCGATATATTGGTCATCGCCAAATATACTCTTCCGATCTCCTCGACTCTGTCTTTTGATTTCTCTGGGTGGGAACGAAATACATTAGAAGGTGTCACTGGTAGAAGCGTTGTCAAACACTGAATACCTGTGACATCATCAAGATAACTGCCTGATCTCATCTCTTTAGAAATGGTAGAAAAGTTATTTGGCCGACATCATCACCGTGTATGAAGACTAAGTCCAAGAGAGGCGAGGAGCTTCGTGATTACTATTCGGTGGGATCTCCAATGTACTGGTATAAAGTTAGTGTAATTGAGGTTTCAAACAGTTTGCAATCAAATGACGATGTCGATTACCCTATTTCTAAGTTGACCCAGTTAACAACAACAAAAATGATGTCATAAAGCTCAGCCATTCTTTAGAGATTTCTCAAATAGTGGTCGCTGTTTACTTTAGTTAAGTGCATACTAAGGCGATGACATAAAGTACTATTCCACAAACATTTACATGACAGCTCTGATTGTTTTGCTTTTCGGTTTCATAGGTGGTACGGCTACAACCGTATCTTTCTATTACAACCAAAGCTCCTCCACAAGACAGACGCAAGTTCGTATAAATAATTCACTAAATCTGCAGGACAAAGTTTGAGGTTTGAAGTTATTTCGCGCCTAAGTTGATCATCTTCCCAACCGCGGTTATACAACTTTGGACATTGCCAGCAATGCTTGCTGTACATTCAGAACAAGGTGGTACAGTCGAACATAAAGGTAGGAGTACTAATGGGAGCAAAATATACAAAAAGATCGAGCTCGGACAACTTACTCCTCATAATATCAAGCAATTCAGATTGATAAATCAAACTGTATTCCCAGTCACATACACAGAAAAATTTTATAATGATGTTCTAAAGAATAGTAAGATGTGCAGACTTGCTTACTTTAATGATATCGTCGTTGGAGCTGTTAGTTATCGAGTAGAGAATGTTGTTGTGAAGAATGTCGATTTGGCTACGGATGATAATAACGGCCAAGCTAATCAAACTGTCAAGAAGTGTTATATTATGACTTTGGGATGTCTTGCACCATACAGAGGCTATGGTGTTGGTACGCTTATGTTAAAACATGTCATTAAGAGCTGCTTAAAGCACGGTGGTATTAAAAGTATTTATCTGCATGTTCATGTTGGTAATGAAGGCGCAGTAGCGTTCTACAAACGTTTCGGTTTTGAAATAACTGGAGAAGTTAGTGATTACTACCGCCGTATTCATCCTCAAACTGCCTACGTGCTCGAAAGGTCCTTATCAGCTACAGAAGCTAGGGAATCCGACTCTGAATCCGATTAAACACTCACTCCAATGTAAATACATCATTTATTTACACTGTTAATAAATACACCAACAGCATCTTGTCCACTCTCTTTTTTGTTCAATTCCATATACTGCCAAAGTGCAGGTTTCATGAAGGTAATCGCTTAGTTCGTATCTTTTGGGTTAGTAGAGTAGTTCATTCACCTCAGTCCACTGGTCACTGATATCACCTACTTCAAAACTTTTGTTACATATAATCTAGTATTTATCGTAACTAGGTACATATTGGTAGTCCGTAACTAACGTGGCAAGCTTTATTATAGTATATTGGTTAATATTATGGTGGTACGGTTTGGATAGCTGTATTATCATCCGAGAGAGGTCATTTTAGTGATCTGGTTATACCACCAGTTCCTCGTTTGTACTTATGAATAAGTCTTTTCAGTAAAACTGATATGTCTATGTGCAATGCTTATACTTATTCACCGTTTCCTGTTTTTATCTTTTCGGTCAGTTTTATCAAGTTATGTCTAAGGTCTCCTTATTTTATTTTTCAAACTCACATTCGCCAAGCAAGTGCGTTCACATTGTGTAGATGATATAATAAAACGCCCCCCCCCCGATTATCACTACATATGCTTACTAATTCACACCAATGACAGGCATATGGTACCATTATTACTGCACCAAGCTAGGTTTTCACAATTTGTGGAGTCCCATCAATATTTGAATGTAATAAGATTGCCATGTTTAAGTAGCCTTATATATGACGGTGCAAATCAGTGACCAACCATATGTTCGTATGAGGAGCTTTAGACGAAGACAAGATAAACCTTAAGTGACTGAATATCGTGTGATAAGAACTATGGTTTGTTGTTTAGAATTCGATAATTCAGATTGATAAGCCGTAAATTTGGGTTTATTACCACTAAGAGTTTTTAGTTTTGTTCTGAAAGATTGGGAGCATCAAAATTCACAGTTAATAAAGCTGACCAAACGTAACTTATGAAGCGTGCATTACTGGTCAGTCTATGTTTTTATTCTAGTAATTATACATTTTCAGCCTCACTTTTTTCTCATGGATTGTCGTTTCGCTTTGTAATATATTTGATTGTCTCTCTTACGACTGTTTGTTCGGCGGAATTAATATTAGTAAAAACTTCTCATAATCCTACTTTGTGTTTACGTTTCAACGTGATCGAACCAATACATATGTAGTGTTCATCTGACCTTAAAGAAAATTTTCGCTTAGATTACCCTTGAAAGGAGTTGAGATAACCGAGCAGAAATTCACCAATAACTTATTGATTCCTTCAATCAGTTTGAGGCGCTTAAAGTATTGATGGCTACCAATGTGAATGGAAAATTCATAACGATAACAAGATCAATCTAAGTTATCATACATCACACAAACACAGTTGAAGGAAATCAAAATAAGAAGCATCAAATTAGTAATAGTGTTAGTAGCGGGAAACTGGGTGGAACAAGTGAGAGCCTAATAGGTAGTATGAATAATCCGATTATTAGTACTTACTTGAAGTTAGAGAATGAACTGGACATCATTTATGTCATACATATAAAAGACAGATGCAGTCTTATCGCCCCGACAATTTTCTAGTCATATGAAGCCTTCAACTATCAATAATTGCTCTCGTACTAAACACATGGCATATATAAGTGATTCCTTAAACGGGTAATGTCTCGTAGTTTGAGCAACTTTGGCGTTGATAAACTTACTATGCTACCCATCGCTATTCTCTAAATTTACAACCTTATCAGATGATTTTCCAATTTTACAGAGCACTCTATTTACGAAATAACCCTATTAACCTGGCTATCATTATTAAAAGCGTCTAGTGATTCGAAAGCACATGATCAAATACACTACTTATCTTCTTTCAGTGACCATACCCCATAACTTTAGTGCATCTTGAAAACAACTAATACCCAGTATACAAATACAGGTGGTGTAAGTTGGTAACAACTAAACATAACATTTTAGGTCGTGCAGGTCGTTTGTAATATAGCCACTAGCATTTGTGATTTAAGAATTCTAAGGTTCAAAACCATAAGCAATTAATCATTGATTTACCGTATGTAGCTGACTGGTAATTAGCTTTTAACTATGAAAATATTTCTCTAATGACTCGTCTCAGAACACTTCCTATATTGGCACAAAAACTAATTTGTGTGAAATATAAAACAAATGAATGGTTACGAAATTTAGATATGTTTTATATCCGTTAAATTGGAAACTAGAAATTAAGCATGCGAGTCTATAACATTATATTATTATAAACTTAGAAATTTATGAGCCAAAGTGCTGCTCATTTGTGTTTAAGAGATCTTATCTGTAAATTTATGTGCGTTCTAAATTGCACCACAATTTCAGATATTACTCAGTTTTTATCGAAAATGTTTGACTAACTCATTACTATATATATTGATGTTGTAGCTTAACAGTCCAACGCCTAGCGTTCGACTGTTGTGTTGCGATTCTATATTCTTGTTTGCTTTGGTAGTCGTCCGCACACACAATAGCTGTAAACATACTATATGAATTGTTTACGAAGTTTCATTCACACATATTTCTAGGCCATGTATTTACGCATAAGAAGTGTCAATAACTTTCTTTACAATTGCAGTCTCTAATGAACTCATCACTTTTAATTAGGTGCCCTGACCAGAATTCTGATTCCACATTTGAAGAGCGACAGACAAAATTACGATCTTTTTTACACTAAACCTCCGAAGCCAGGCTTCGTTGAGCCACTCATCAGTCATTTGAGATAAGGTAAATTCATTAAAGTTGCTGTAAAAATGAGCCAGATGATCTGTTCTTTCAGTAGCTCCACGCAGAATCTTTAGGAACTGATTTTTTGGGCCATTATCTTACTGATACCAGGCTTTTGACTACTGTTGTCTCAAATGTTCTTGAACAACTCCCAGCTATTACCAAATTTATCTGTGCCGGTAACTGGTTATAGAAACCATATTTTCAGGTTCTTGCGTATACCTAAATTTAAAAACATTTTTTACACTAAATCTTTCACAATAGACCACTAAATGTAAAAAATTTGTTAGGAAATCATTAAAACCCAACACTGCTTTTTAAGTTGTGAACGAGAATTTCGCAAGTGTCAGCATATTTTGCAGTTTATCAGAAACAGCATAGTTAATTTTAGGTTGGTTACTTTCTGAAATCAAGTCCATGATCTTTTAGTGTTAGTAAAGTATAAGGATTTCAAGTCATTTCCATCTGAAATAGCAAGTCGGATTCAGGCTTTTCATGTCCACGATGAACTAGACTCTGGAAAATTGAAATATAATTTATGAAGCACCCCTATATATTCCAAGCAAGCTGGCACTTATCAGAGCTGTCTGACCAGACTGTTACAGTAAGTCAGCTCAAAACTACATCTTTCATACCCATTAGTGTAGATAAATGATTTGACAATGAGAACCTCTGTTTTACGTATCTTACTGATGGAATATAAGATACGTGTACTAATAGCAAAAATTCACGATGATTAATGTTTCCAGTTAGCCGTACAGCACGTCTCGTACCTGAAGGTCACAGCAGAAATTAGGATAACACAAAACAGTCGATTTAGGCAAATAATGATAACGATGTTCTGGATTTGAGGTTCCCGAGTTAGATACTATTCAATGTTATACTTGTGGGACGTCGTTAATTAGTACTGCAAAATTTCCTTAATATCGCTGATATCAATGCAGATATTTGGAAACATCGATCCGGGCAACTGCTTAGCTCGTGATAAAGGATAGTATGTCAAAAGCCCACTAAGTCGATAGCTTAATTGTATAGTAACTTACAGAATTTTGTAATCTATCAGGAACAGGGAAATGCTTTGTACATTCAGGTCGATGATGTTTTTAACGTTCTTTTTTCCTGACGAAATATAAAGTTTAGTGCAAACCCTTTCTAGTTATTAAAAAAGAACTTGTATTTTATAATTGAAACTTTCAGTTTTCTATGGCTTAATTGAAACTCTGATGTGATGATTAACTGGAGATTTCTCTAAGGGAAACAAAATGAGTGATTTCTAGTCTGAGTCGTGTTGGGGATGCACTTTTCATTGTTCCAATCCATTCCTTTTGTATTATATACATTTTCCTATTGTTCATTATACCATTATTACATCTTCATTTTATTCACTTACGCTTTCCGTGTTAATGCAACAAATAATTGTGGTAGGTTAAGATTTGTTTGTCTGAGTTGTTAATAAACAGTTTCATAACAGACTGTCCACTAAACTAACCCAAATTAGTATCAAGATGAATTGACAATTACATAGTAGCTTACTACCTATTACCAACATAATCCATCTAATATGTGTACCAAATAACTTAAAAATTTGATCTTTGTAATTACACTTAAGGAAAATGGTAGTTGAGAATGTCAACGATTTTCGATAAAATCCTATTCCGTAGTGTTACTTCTTATGTAATCCACAAACACCATACAACAATAATCATACCGGACAGTCAAGATACCAACGATTAAGTATATGAGGACCTACGTTTGAAGGATATATGGGATTCGAAAAGATTCAATTAATATCAAAGTCAAAATCCCCAATACGAACGTCAAGACAGTTCTACTATACCGAGCTGAAACTTCGAGAACTATCACAAACATCATCAAAAAGTACATGTATTTATAACAATTTTCTACTCAAGATATTCAATGTCCGTTGGTCGGATACCATCAGCAACAGCCTACTGTGGGAGAGAATAACCAGTTTCCAGTTAAAGCGTAAACTAGGAAATGACGCTGGAGGTGGGTAGAACATACATCTAGGAAATAATCAAACTGCATCACGAGGTAAGCGCTAACTTGAAATCTTGAAGGGAAACGGAAAAGTGAAAGACCAAAGAACAAACTGTGTTACGGATTGAAGCAGAGATAAAAAGAACGTATAGCAACTGGAAACAACTGCCAAGGACAGAGTATGCTGGTAGGCGGCCTATGCTCCTCTACAAGGGGTAACATGTATAAGTAACACAGTACATAATGAAGTGTACTCGAGAAATTTAAACAACTAAAAGTCTTGATCCCACTGTTTATCTGATTAACTAATCATAATTTATGAATTAATTGGACATAATTATGCTTTTTCGTCTAATCGAAACCAGAGTTAAATTGTACGATTCAAAGTATACAGTGAATATATACAAATATAAGTTTACAGATTTAAATCTTTGTTAACTAACAATTTTGAAAATAAAAGTAAACATGCAAAAATACTTGATTAGTCATAAGTTATTATAATTATGTCATAGATCTACGATATTGTTCAAGTCATGCATCTTTATCATTCAGGACATAAAATATTAGTAGCAAACAAGAAATACATGTATATATATAATCATTGTGTTTGGAAGATAAAAAAAGCAGGACAACAGGTAAAGTGGTTAATTAGAGTAGAGAAAAAACTGAAGCAATAAAAAAAATTATCCGGTTAAAATTCAAGCAGTCGGGTTCCTTTGAATCCTGATTCTGTATGAATTGATTCTGAAATGAAAATGATGTATGTTAAGTAATATATATATATATATATATATATATATATATATATATATATATATATATATATATATATAAAGAATTCCAATTAGATAATTTCCACTGACATTTATGCATGACGTTAAAACTTGCATTTAATGTGCCCATTTATTAACGATATATTTTTATTTATTGTCTTTTTATAATTATTTAAAATATCTTATACCCTTTTCTTTTTATGATTTCATCTTAAACATACAAACAACAATAATAATTTTAACTATCATGTTAAATATGTATTTCCGCTTGTTTTGAACTACACTTCATTGATTTGGGTATGTATTAAAAAAAAGTCTGGCGAGACGAACCAATCGCGTATAAGATAACAGGCTTCGGATTTTGGCGCGAAATTCACTCACCCATTTGGATAAAATAGAGTTTTGTGATTATAACTGATGTCAGTTCGTGATGAAAAACCTAAATATAATTTCTAACCTTAATCAACAACTGTAAATCATAGTTCTGATTCCTCACACAGGTTTAAAATCCTCACTTCGTCTTGGTTATTAGGTGGACATTCTCAAGGTCAGTCTAGCGTCACTCAAAGGTCGTCCATAAATCATAGTCTCGCCAAACGTTTTTTTCTTACAATAATATTACCTTTTCAATAGTTGAGATCATGAGTGAATTGAAGCCAGGCCGCCATGGAAACCTGGAAGTACTGAACGGCCATTTCGTCCCATTATGGGACTCCTCAGCAGTGTGCATCCACGATACCGCTCGCGGGACTCGAACCCAGGACCTATCGGTCTCGCGTGCGAGCGCTTGACCACTAGACCACCGAGCTGGCATCCAACGTTGTTAATTTCCAACTTCGACTAATCCACGAAATTGAGCGACATCCACGTTTGTCATCAGTGAGTTACTATCTCACAACTGACCCGGTTGAACTCCACTGGTCACTGCTCACTAGAACTCTAGGATGTACATCCTCAAGCCAGTCACTACTGAGCATATGTTGATTAGTATCAGAATGGGTTTTGTGGAGATTGTAGTAACTTCAATAGTTGAGATCATGAATCTAGTTTCAACTGACTCATGATCTCAACTATTGAAATTACAATCTCCACAACACCCCTTCTAATATTACTATTGTCATCTTAGGTTGTTTGCAACTGGCGAGATGCTATAAAATACAATGAATTCATGTTATTTTGCAAATCTTGTTCTTTTTGCTTTATTTCAATTAAAAATTATTGTTGATAATAAAAAAAACTAGTGGTTAATTTTATAAACGTGATTGATATGGTGACGGTCAACCCTATAAATCTGAAAGTTTTTGAATAATAGAGAGTGAATAGAAAACACATGGAGAATAAATGATTAAATCTATTCTCAGGTTACTCAGTAGCATATAGATTTTATCTGTTAAACCAAAAATTAGATTAACAAATTAATAGATGGAAAAAATTCAAAACGTAAGTCAGTTCATCATTGTTATATTTTACAAATACACGTGACTGCAGAACGGCTATCAATATTTACTTAATTAAATATTCTGAAATGAGATTATGAAAATTATTCTTACATAACATAATGATTTCATGAAGATAAATTGACTAATGCCAAAATGCTAAGACGGAAACTATTGAATATTAAAGTTTTTTTTGAAAATTGGTTTCTGTTAATTTCGTGGATTGGCTGAACTTAGGCATTAACACCATTGGATGCCGTCTTAGTGGTCCAAAGGTTAAGCGAGTCTGATTGATTCTGGGTTCGAATCCCGCGAGCGATATCGTGGATGAGCACTGCTGAGGAGTCTCACAATAAAACGAAACGGTTGTCCAGTGCTTCCAAGTTTCCATGGTGGCCTGGCTTCAATTTACCCATGATCTCAACTATTGAAATTCCTATAATATTCACAAAAACCCCTTCTGATATTAATTTATAATGTCATGTCCATTGAACAATGAATCCATATCAAATGACTATTATATAAAACTGAAATTTCAGAACTTTAAACTGGTCAATAAACTAGTAGATATTTTAATGTTACATTCTAAGCAGGATACTTTGTATGAGATTTTAGTGAAATTTAAGATTGAGAATTCGGTAACATAAAGACTAATCATATAAATATAGAGAAAAAAATTAGAATAATAGGATGACATGAATATTAGAAGCATTTTTGGAAAAAAACTTACCAGAGTTTGATTTACATGGACTATTTGATTTCAACTTTTGTGTCGTTAACTTGAATGTACCATTATCAAAACTTGTTCGATTAGGATTCCATGTTGGATCATCTGACCATAAATAGAGAATAGTCTTGGGACAAATACTTAACTCTTGTAATGTTTTCGTATGGTCAGTAAGTTCTAGACCCTGAAAAAAAGTTAGCGATATTCATAAAACACAGGACCTTAACAGCTTTACATAATTTGTTGCATAAATAGGCTCAGATGTAGTTACAATAAGTCAGCTGTTAAGATTTCACAAATTCACTGAGATTTAAATAAGGCAATTATTAGATACGAAAAAGAAGAACCTGAAAAAACTCAGAATATAAAACCGAAAAATGTGGAATCTACACAGAGATAGGGAAAAGAGATTCATGTAATAAATAAATATTGTATAGAACACTAAGATATGATAATACATATTGCATCCTCTATTATGACCACATGACATTCTGCCAAGGAGCTAAGATTATTTAAATATCATTATTTAGTAGCGAAGCCGCAAGCGGCTTTGCTCGCCATTTTGATGGCGTCATGCAATTGCAACCAATGCTCATCTATACTTTTCCGTGGAGTGGTAGCTAGCCTAGAGGCTAGCTCGGTTCGATACTTACTTGCAACAGAAGTTGCAACCACCTTGCTAATATCAATCCGTTGATGGCGGTCATTTCGTTGGCCACTGAATCGTAAGGCAAGATTGGCGCAGACCAAGGCACGGTCAGAGTCCAGATAGGTACTCCAAAAGAAGCGGCAGTCTTGTACACAACCACGCCAGCGGTAGCTGATCGCGATGTGATCAATCTGAGTCCAAGCTTGAGATGCAGAGGGAGGACGCCAGGTGGCACATTGGCGATGACTGTGCCAGAGGTTAGTGCTAGCCAGAAACAGGTTGCGGTCTGTGCACAGTTGCAGCAGACGATCCCCGTTATCTGTCCTGCGACAAACGAGTCCCCTTTGGCCACCTAAACGATTCTCTTCTGTGCCTAGACGCCCGACATGAGCATTCATGTCTCCGGCTAGTACTACAATATCTGTCGGACGCACTTTCTGTAGAAAACAGTTAGCTGGTGGAAGAATTCATCCTTGATTGCATCCGGGCTGCAATCTGTCGGGGCATAGGCGGAGATGACGAAACGACATCGTTTCTCAAGCCAATTTCTTCTCACTTTGATGGAACTTGCTAATCTAACAGCATATAACCGACTGTTAATGGGGATCCAATCGACTAGTGCTGCCTCAGTTCTAGCTCTTAGTGCGACACCAACGCCAGAAAGACCAGACGAAGATGCCACAGGGTCCCCGGATAAACGCACATAAAAAAAGCTTTTTGAAGCGACAGATGGAGAGCGAATTTGTAGTACTTCACCAGAGTCTTGAATACGGGTCTCGGATAGACAGCAGACATCGATATTAAGACTTTCCGAAGACATACCCAGCCCTATTTGTTATCCGACCTGCATAAATGTGCGAACGTTGATGGCAGTCAGTTTGAATGGTGCACGTGGTTTCAGAAAAACTGCTTCAGTACTCATATTCAGTGGTAACATACAATTTTCAACCGGACAGTGACTCGGGAACGTTTAGATAGAACCGAGTTTTCATCATATGCGAGCTGCTATATAAGTCGAAAAATAAGGATACACAAAGTGGGAATAAAAGAGAGTGGATACGTGACCTGGTAAATAATAATAATAGTGTGAACTGTTTGACTGGTAATCGAAGCGTGAATAGGATTTCAGTAAATCTCGTCACTTTCATTTTATTTGTGTGTGGGCTGTGATACTGCCCGGGTGCCCAGACCGAAGCAGGGGCTTTTCTTAGGAGGCCACATCTCGAGCATTTGACCTAGAGGTCTGACCCACAAGGCAGTGGAGCATCGTAAATGAATAAGAATTATAAATGAACAAGAATAAATCATATTATGGCATTTTTCCCCTCTAAAAAAAACACTTTGGAAACATGATTTCAATTGTGATAAAGTAATTTACAAAATAATAATTATAACCTTACATTTGACATAATATGTTGATCGGAAGGGATAACACCTAAGTTTTGCATAATTTGTACTTTCACATTAAGAAGAGTATCACTGCTGTTCACTTTGATCAATAAATCTTTAGGATTAAAACGTTGACGTGAAGAACGTCTAATATAATTTGTAGATGAAGACTCTAAATGTTGATTAGATAATTGACTATTTGTATTATCATAAAGCACATGTTGATGCTGATGATTAGATGATGGAGGTAATTGGTCTATTACACTAGTTTCATTATCTGATGAAAGACGTGGAGTGATATCTTTGCTAACAGAATTGGATAATTCTAAATTATTACATCGTTTATTGAAATAATCTTTTATTTCTCTCACATTATCCATTTCCTAAATAAAGAAGAATTTTTCAAAAAAAAAAGCACGATAAGAAGTACATGAGAAAATCATAATGTTACGTGAATTTGAAAACCTTTGTTTCTTTGATAAATTTAGATAATAACCAATGAAAAGACGAAGTTTATCAGAACAATTCAGTGTACTAAAGTAATGCATTTCAGACAATTCGATCACATTGACTTGTAAATGACATATAAAAATTCCCAACTCCCCTCAATGTTCAAAGGCAAATATATTCACGCCAACCTATCCTTGTAGTATTGTTTTGTTATTCAGAATGGCGTGGAGCGATGGGCTGCTAATTATAGCGTATGATTTTCAAACCTTAAGTACCAAGTTCGAATCCCGCACTTCCTACTTCGGTTAGGGCAACCAAGTAGTATTATTGGTCCCAACACTTACAGTATGGCTTATACTCAGTTATCTGATAAGTCAGTCAATTAATTGATTTTTCTAGAGTGCTGTGGTTCATATTGTTTTGCTCCTTATTTTCTTTTATCTCACAGTTTGTCTGGTTTGAACTTTTATTTCCCATAGATAAATATCTTTACAAGTTAATGTGCGGTTCGATTGTTTGAAACAAACTGTGGTGATATATCATAAATAAGATTCATCTCACTGATTTAAAACAATTGAAAAGTAAAAAAAGATGGAAGCTGTTAAATTTATTGTTAATGTATATTTCGATTTTCCTTTTCAAGAATTAGAATATTTAGGGTATTTTAAGAAAGTTTCACTTATAACCAGAATAGTATTATCAACATTAAAGAAAACAGATGTTATCAAACAAGGTATCATTTATAGTGGATGACTTTAGTCGAAAAAAAAAATCATAATTGGGCACTGAATTACATGTGACACAAAATATTTACAAGTTTATTTAGGAAAACCCTAAAATTATTAAATAATAAGTTATAAAGCAGCACGATTATTGCTAAAGCAACGCAGTTTGCTTGTAATAGCACATACGGAGACTTATTAAACACGATATTAATGGTTAGTTGGCGTGGAGAGCACGTAAACTAACCACGCTGAAGTTTGCTTCCTTAGGAGTTACGACACTAATGTTGACAAAACATGGGGTTCCTTTTCGTTAAGTAAAATTTTACAGCCCCTTATCCCCATGCCGCATACCTACCATAAAGCATTCGAGTATTGTACTTGAAAGTCTGACATACGGTGCAAATACTAATTTCGGATCGACTGTCAAAACCCGTGTCTGTGTTGCACCAACCTGATCAGAATTGTTCGGAATTATGATGTCAGTTGTTGGTTGAGCACAAATTTCTGTGTCAGTTTGAAAATCCTGTGGCACACAATTCAAGGATTCCTGAACAGAGGTGAGTTTTGACTGGACGCAACTACTTAATGCTTCATCGAATCCAGATACCAGACGTATACGGATTCTAGCATTATTAAAAATCTGATCACTGATTATCTCAGGTTGACATTTTGGGCATAAACTACCATAAGATGATGGTTCCAATCTCCACTTCAGTTCAGAATCATTCTGTGGAAGTAAATACATCGGTGGATAGAAAGTTATTTTTGTCTCCGGTCCATCATGATCCAAAGGTATTTCGTTTTCCTTAAAACGATGGGGATATGCGTGAGACAAGACATCCCATTCATAAAAAGTTAAGGGACACAATATTGACTCATTTATAAGAGCATGCCATGTTTTTAGCATCTGAAATTAATCATTAAAAACAAGAAAACAAATGTTAGAAATGAATTGCCGAAAAAAATATATATATATATAAACAACTAAAAGTTCGCTTCAAATAATGAAGATTAAATTAAACTATGAAGCGGAGCAAAAAACGATATATATTTCAATAGAAATGGGTATAATTGTATATGAGGATTTTATATTGATCTTATGTCTGTAGGATGGTGAATTTAACTGATTACAGAAAAGAGGTAACTGGAGGACTAAAGGAATTTGTACCCTTTTGGTTGAAACACCTATTAGTGATACTGTTATATCTGGACAAAGAATAAGTGAAAGGTAACAGCTAGGATCTATTTATGAATTATTGTTATGTATATTCTTTTGTATAACTATTAAGTAACCATATCATATGTATATTCATATTCCTTTTATTATGGATTTTATTTGAACTATTGACTATTATTATACGATTTACTATTCTTAAGATATTTTTCATTTATTAGTAACAGTCTGTCAAAGTCACTTTCTGGCTTGATCTTTTACGATTATTATTTTCTGTTCTATGGTATGACGCGGTTTGGTTTGTTTCTATATAAACCCAGTATGTTTGAAATATGATTCGTATAGCGGAAGCTGATATCGGCGTCCTGGTTTGAACCGGCTGGGCTGGGAGAGAAGCTACTATCTCAGAGGACCAATAGGAACTTCAGGCTGCTCGTACTGGTTTGTGCATCATTGGTTTGGTTGTATAAGTCGGTGTCTAATTGGCGACCTCATCACGTGTTATATTCGCAGGATATAACAGATGCCATTAGTGATGTTATTCTTTAGCTTTTGATTAAATGTGTGCTAGTGAAGTCGGTACTCGATGCGTAACCAGTGTAATTCTTCACACAAGGGTAGTGATAAAAGTCTCTGTATCGTTAGTCATAAACAACGTAGTACCCAGTGTAAGAACATATAAACTCATATTGATCCACTAAATCACCACAAAACGATAAATAAATGAGTGAATAGCAGTGAGAAACAGTAAACGTTGAGAATATGGTTAGATAAGGGACGAAATAAAAATATATAATAATACTTAATCATAAGTTCTAGAGAAAGATAAAGAATGAATCTATCCGCGCTATTGTGACTGGCTTAGAACGATGTCATCCGAGTTCTCCGACAACTGATCACCAAGCAGGTAATTTACATCTACCCACATGGTTTAGACAGACAGGTAGTAATTAAATGGACTAGCGTTACATATCGGTTTGGGTTCTGTTAGCCTTTTTCAAAACGAATCCTACACTAGTTTCAAGGTAGACGGCGGCAAGTGAACTTGTAGAAGAGTAACGGGGAAGCTTATTACGTATGAAACATCTGATAGTATCCTCGAAGGCACGGAGTGAAGTAGTGGCTGGTTAGGCTACGTATGACATTTCTGAAGATAGTTTGCAATAAATTTTGTCCAGAGCTATGTACTTAGGTCTGTATGTGTGGTCGAATTATGATATACAGTATACCTAGTGAACAACAGAATAATTTGTACATGGCACATTGTATAGTTGACTGATAAGAGAGGATGAGTTCTGACTAAATGTGCTGTTAATCAATAATTTATTCGATTAATTAAGAGACCGATAAGAAGAGAAACGGTAGCAGTAAAACAAGGATGGAAGACTTTCCAAGCTGATATTGCAACGACCTTCCCAAATCTTTTGGTAACGAAATAAATACACCATCCTTTCCTATGAACAAAGAAAGATTTAGATGCTCGTGCCACTTTTACCTTAAATACTTCATTTTAAAAACTTTATGTGTTGCCATGTACAGATCATTTTAATTGGAAATTTTCATTTCATGAACCACTGGACAAGCTAACATTATTAAAATAGCTTATTTAAGAGCTCATCATTACTGAAAATTTTAGTTCGAATTGAAACATTTGAACTGACTAAATGACTGCTTTCTTCTTCCCGACAACTGTGTCTGCGTGTAGCCATTCTTGAAATATATGCAACAATTAATCATGTCATTTTCTAATATTTGACTCTTTATGCAAATATCGAATAACAAGCAGATTTAGTTGGGATTCTAGAAATCAATACTACTAACGCATATTATGCATATGAGCTTTACTTGTGAAGGATAAATGTACCAACAGATTGTTTTGACCTAGAATTCAACAATTCAGAATGTTTTAACCATTCATTCGTCGATTTTCAGTAGACTATATACAAAATAGATTACTTATCCAAGATGATCCCATTTCATGTCGATCTGTTTGCTTGATAATAATAATAATAATAATAATAATAATAATAATAATAATAATAATAATAATAATAATAATAATTAACAATAGCATGTGAAAAGGTGTACATGGGTATGCTTATTATGATCATTTAAATAGTTTTCATTTCATTGAACGAAAATCAAACAATAGAGAGTTGTGACAATTAATTCATTACTTGGCCATGTTCACAAAGCACGCCATCTGAGTTAAAGCCAGATAATAGCGAACTAGGTAAATTATCTGTTGTTGGATTTCGAATAAATTTTCTCCATTGTATAATAAAATTCATTGGAATCAAGTAAAGAACATTGGTATTTAAATTATTTAATTTCTTAGCGGTATCTGTAGAATGACCGTTTAAATTTTCTGACTTAGAATTATTGACCCTACAAATAAATAAGCGACATTAGTAACTAAAAATGTATTAGAAAAGGTTATATAAATGACAAACGTTAAGGTTAATAGTTAGTTCCTGCTTCGGTTTGGGCACCCAGGCTGTATTACAGCCCTCACACGAATCAAATGAAATTTGTGTGGCGCATATGTATTTGGTACCTCCTTGTACCAATATATATGTGTTAAAATAAATACTAGTTAGTTAGAGGTAGTCGCTATTTTTGGTTGGTTAAATCTGAACTTAAAATTGAGACGATTTACCTGGAAGAAGAATGTACTTCATTCACAAAATTTTTTAAAAAAATCCACTGATACTTACGCACATCAAAGAACTAAAATAAATTTATAAGTAAGTGAAGTGAAATCATCATCATGGGAAATAATAATTTCTTTTATCAATTTAAAAAAGAGTGCAAATTACCCTTCAAAGTTAAATTTGCATTCGCTTAAAGTGTCTTCTTTTATATTTACAGCTGTATTTACTGTTTGACTGGTAGAGTGTAAAAGTCGCATACGTTGAACATTTGACAAGAATAAGCCAGGAAGCATTTGACGTTCACATAATGCTCGTTTTGTCAAGTCATTTTGTACTGCGTTACATTCAGAACAAGATGACTCTGATTTATTGAATATACTAATGGAATTGATAGATGCATTATTGTTATTGTCATAAGGAATATAAATAGGAAATGTAGGAATCTTTACCCCAGGAAATAAATCGATTAATTTATGCCAAAGTACGGCTGGTAAATAACGTGTATTTTCTGTACAAATTTGACCGTGAGGACAAAGAATATCATGATTAAATGTTGTTTGTATATGATGGCCAGTTGTTGGTGACTTAGAATCATCATCATAATCAGAGTAAAAAGCTCGTGTGAAATGACGTGCAAGAGTTTTCCATTGACGAAGAGATCTCTTACCAATTAAATAATATCCAGGTTCAGGATTCAAAGGAATTGAGTCTGTCTTTAAAAATTTAAAGGAATATATTAGCATAAACTTAAAAACCAGAGATGATAGTAATAAACTATTTTAACAATGTATTTTTGGAAATCCGAAGCATTTAAATGAAGTACAGGCTCAAGTCCCACAGATAGCCAGTGATACCATCTGACTGCTTAAACCAAAAGTAGGTGATACAAGTGGTTGAAAATTGCAATCATATTTATTTATTTGAACATAGATATTGAGACAAAGGGGCACCGAATACATATGTACCACACAAGTCACTTGAATTGTATGTGGGCTGTGATACTGCCCCGGTGCCCAGACCGAGGCAGGTGGTTTCCTTAGGGGACCACACACGGAGCATTCGACCTGAAGGTCTGATCTACAAGGCAGTGGAGCAACGTCAGGAGATGCAGTCCCATGGCATCCAGTGACCAATAATTGGTTCATATACCATTTGTTCCCTCAGGATCCTCGAGCCCATGTGCCCCACTGACATAAAATCAGGGTTTGCCAACTCCCCTATGTGGAACAATATAAATCGAAGTTCATACACTTTGAATGAACACAGAAAATAGTAGTAATCTGTTTGGATGTGTCGCCAAGATCACTAATAATTCACTTTCCTTTCAAGGTACCCCGAAAAGTATCCTTCCACAGTGTGAGCAGCTGGGAAGTGACAACTTCCCATACACGTCTAATAGTACAAGAGATCTAAAGCATAGTCAAAAAAGGAATGTAGTTGTATCGCGTTTCTAATCTGTCAGTATTAAAATGAATTAAATCCCAAGGAATATGATAAGCTTGAAATACCGGTGATTAAATATGCTAAACTATGACTTAATACTATACTTAATGTTCGGCGATCAAGCCTAATTTATCATATTCAAAAGAATGCAAAAAAAGGCGAAACATGCAATTATAACTTTAAACTGAGTCTCATAAACAACAAGAAAGACAAATTATTGTACCTGAACGTCCCATGTAAAGTAATTATTGATAAATAAAGTGAAAATTATACTAATTACCTTAGAGTTATTGAACTAAGATTTGACTAGGTAACTAGCTAAAAGAATATGTCAATAAGTTTACTAAAATACACTAGCGAAACGTTCATCAACTAAACAGTAGATAAAAAATCATTAGAGAATCCATGGAAAGAATCATATATTTCAGTAATTTAAAAAAATATAGATATTTACCTTTTCACTTTGAAGACGTTTATAATATGAGGAAGACAAATGATTAGTTTTTATAAAATAGTCCAATTCTTTAGATAATTCTTTAATTGCATTTTCAACTTTTAATAATGCGATATTTAGTGTAATACACTTTCGACACGGTTGAAATCGATTAAACCTTGAAAACAATTATTAGATGATAATAGACTTATATAAGGAAAATAGATTTTCATAAAAAAGAAGTATTCTAGGAAAGATATTTTAAGTTGTATCATGTTATAAGGATGCTTTTCTATTCTTAACCTGTTAATTAAAATGAACGAATATTTTAAGATTTTAATAGGCTACAAAATAATAATCACTGTAATCTGAAAGCACGACACAACCTAGAGCTTGAGCGTCCACACGCGAAACCGCAAGTCAAGGGTTTGAGTCCCGTGCGCGGGATCGTGATCGTCCCATACTAGGACGAAACGGCCGTCCAGTTCTTCCAGTTTTCTAATGGTGGTTTAGCTTAGATCGACTCGGGAATCCAACTGCTAAAAATACTACAATCCCCACAATTCCCCTTACTGAAAATAATGAGTTTTTAACAAAATATTACTTGTACACTATGAATAACAGTAATAATAAAGATGATATCGTTATAAGACAAAACTGTGTACCTATCATCTTCAGATTGAATGGCATCAAATGATTTTTGGAAGAGAATCTCAATAAGCTTTTTAAGACCTTCGCTAGAAACAGCTCTGTATGAACCTGCAACAAGATCTGTAGGAGCATGGCCATGTGAACAGGTGCGTAAGGTATAAGATGATTGATTTGATAAAGAAGAGGGAAATATGTAGTCTCTGAGTTTTGAAAGCGATTTTATCTGAGCATCAGTTAAGCATGCATCTCCCAATAACAACGGATTATTAAGGCAATCACATAACCACGATGTTGATACCAAAGATACATTATCGAGAGGATTTATTGATATCGAAGTACTATTATTCGGTGATGAATTGATAGGATCAGGTAATTTCAGGTTGGATAGTATTTCAAGTAATTGATTTTTACGATTTACCTGTCAGAAGAAAAAAATTGTCGTTATGTAGATAATTGAGGAATACTGAACATAATCTTTGTAAAATGGCAATCGTTACAAATAATCCTAGTGGTTTATGCATTTCTCTGGAAAGACAAATAAACATCAACCTGTTATTAATTTAATATATATCCTAAGAATATTGCTCTGCAAAGTAGGAAAGCATATCACAACTGTTAAAAATAATTCGTAAAACCACATCTTTACTTCAATATGTGAAGCATGAAATTACAAATGTGCTCAATGAATCGAAGTTGATATCGATAATTAAGCAGTTAATGAAATGACAGTGTTACTAAGTCCATCGATGCTGAAATCTTCAAAAGTAACACACAACTAATGATAGTCACTATTTTCTTGTAAAATACATATACTAGGTTCTTACTTTCTACTATTTATATGAGCACAGAAGCATATTTATGTAAAGTTTCAAAATAGCACGTAATAGCTATGCATTCCAAGGCAAATAAAGACAGATAAGAAAACTAGACTGAAGTTTAAATGATAATTAAACTAATATTTATTTGAAATGTTTGGTACTTTAAGCAATAATCTTTAATTATTCAAATTGATCAATTCATTAGGTACAAAGAAATAAAGATTAAGATTAATACATTACATTCTATTTAGTCATGATTTATATTTCTTTAGACACCTAATTTCTCATAATACATTCGTTGGCGAAAAAAATCCGTTCGCTGAATTTCGGGTTTTGAATTTTCTAATAAGAAACATAAATTTATCAACTAACATGTATAGCCAGGAGAAAATTTTGCAATAACATACTTTATTTTGTTGTTCAGATAGAAGCTTTTGTTGTTCAGTTAAATTTACTTCTTCAATTGTTTTGCGTAAGTCACTAGGAACTGTAATATCTATAAGGAAATAAAAATGGAAATATACAAATAATTATGAAATTAGTCAAATATAAACTAATTTTAATTTATACATTAATAAAAAATTCAAAATAACTAATAGTAAATTGTTATTATGTCATTTATGTAAAATTATCTTTTAAGTGCAATACGGACACTTTTGTAAAACATACTTTCTTAGTACACACCAAGTAGTCTGATGGTTACATTTTTTCAGTTCTTGAAAGTTATTTCTTTTAAAAAAATATTCATTTGCCAGGCACAGATTACTGTACTCGGCTTTGAGTCACATTCTAAATGTGAGGGCTAGAGTGAAACTAATCAGTTGCTGAAACCGGAGTAGGTGGAGCGCGGTTCAAACCCACTTCATAGTGACTGAAAGTCAACCGCTCCTGAGGGATATGACTTGCATTGTGGTTAAAGATAGAATTAGTGACTACCATATGGAATCACCTGAGTATACGTTCTCTAATTATGTATGCTATACTTAATACAACGTGCCAACATGCACGTCACCTTGATAAATCTTAGATGAACAAAAAGAAATTGAGCGATAAGTTGTAAACATATAATGACTAAAGCGAAGTTTTGTTTACGAAGCACTATTTATAACGTAGGAAATAATGATATGTATTGAGAACTACTAGTCTATTTTGATACATACCTAAAATAGTAAAAGGAGCTAAATGTAGCAAACACTGAAATAACTGAAACTTCAACATTTATAGTTGATAGGTCGTTAAGTTCGTTTATAAGTTGATAAGATTGCCCATGAAGCGAAACTGTGTTACAATAATTTTTGAGTATAACGAACAATCTTAACGTTAATACATCAATTTCATATGACAAACCATAGTTTAAATTAGTATAGTTCGTAATCTCCTCAAGTCACGAATGGCACGTGTTACGCAAATAATGTGACATCTTAACAATGTGTGACTTTTAACAGACAATTAAACTGACTTTGAAAAGCGTAACAACACCCAGCTTAAATGATACGTAACTACAAAGATACTTATGTTTAAAGTGTTATGCTTAATTTTGTACAGAAAATATGCTAAAGAACACTTGGCTTATTCGAACATAAGTAATCTATATATTTGAAAACTTAGTTTGAAATGGCTATGAATACAACAGAAAGGTATTACCAACAATCATGTAAACTCAAATATGAGATACAGAATTATTCGTAGAGAGTGAATCACTCCTATATTTCGATAACTACTGCCATCATTCTTTTACTTTCCGAATACTTCTTCTGTAAATATACATTATTTTATATTTGTGATATTTGATTCAATTATGTGCTCACCAATGACTAATTTCAAGAGATGATTCCCCGAGGTTCTAGTGAGAATCCATGACCGGTGGAGTTCAACTATTTCAGGTGTGTGGCAGTTAATTAGCAATGAATGAAATTGAGAGATGGTTGTGAAATAACACAAATAAAATAAGATTCAAAAGATAAACAAGTAGACGTTGATTCTGTTATTAAAAGGTAAGGGCCCAGTAGAAGGCTTGTATGTCTTGGGTTCGACCCCCGTTAAAGTTTTGGGTATATACTGCTGAGTCTCACACTAGGACAGGAACAGCTATCTAAAGTTATTTGATTTTTAATGGCTGTTTTACTAATGCCAGTTAGTGACGTAGTTGAATCTATGATGTACATAGAAACTATAAAAAGAATTCACATAGTAAACATCAATTGTTATACGAAAGAATATACGAATTATACTACCTTCATCCATATTACAATTATCCACCGATTCATAAAATACCATATACGCATTAGTTGAACTATGCCATAAATCGTCCTGTGACATACACTTAGAAGTTGTAGAATCTCTACTTTCATTAAGGTCAGTGAAACTAAGATCATTTGAGGAAGTATCATGACGAGGTTTTTTGGCTGCTCTACGACTAGAACACTTTTCAGAAGATTGATCAGATTTAGTAAGGCTTATTGATGAATCCGATGTTTCAGTAGTGGCTAGATAGCTTTGCAATGATTTAGCTGATCCGTTAATTTTTGCTAATTTAAATTGATTTGACGGTACGTTGAAGACCTTGAAAAAAAAACAACATACGTTCTGTATTCATTATATGAGAGAATTGAAAATGAAGTAGAAATTGGTGTATAATTCGGAAAAAGCTTATTTAAATACATAACGAGTGCACAGAGTCAATAATTTGACGGTTGAAACATATAAGTCCCAATAATTGAGACATATTATTAAACCCGAAATCCTATTATCTAACCTGGAAAAAAGATCGCACCTTTATGCTGAATAAATGGGAACTGCACCTAAATACTGAGCGCTTATTTAAACTGTTAAAAAAGTGCATTAAATGTGTCAGATTAATATGGAATCCAGTTAAGATACTAAGTGATTTAAATTGAAATAAGAAAAAAAGGTGAATAACTATATCTGTCGATATAAGTAGTACGTAACACCAATAGGAAGTGGAAAACCTGGCAGCAGAAGACTAAGCATATCAAGCTGAAGAGAACAAATACGGATATAGAAGTGAATTGCGAATTGAAAGAATCGTACAGAATGTAAAGGACAAAAGATAGAAATTTGGAAATGAAGTATTTAATGTACGCTTTCCATAATTTACCAAAAAACTCAATAATTTTGTGTAAAATACAAATCAGTCGTTCCCACCTGTGTTCTTGTTCACAACACTTACATCTATATCATTGCAAACACTCCAACATTCATTTGATTTTAAAGGAGGATCATCTTCAGTACTTGATTCTGTGTTTTTATCACCAGATAAATTGATTCTTTTGTAAGAATCTCTAAGAACAGCTATATAATGTCCTGATGTTGGTTGGTTGCCAATATGTAAAAGTACACCACAGAGACGATATGCACGATGACATGGATCTGAAATAAATATAAAATTACTATATAAATGGTAGTTTATTAGCAGCAAACTCAATATTACACTTAATCAGTCACATGCAATATAGAACTTGACTTATATATGTGCCTTGAATCAAGTTCTCACACCGCATTAGCAGAAAAAGGCTGAACTTAACAAGGCAAATACCAGAGTAGAAGTAGTAACAGTATCAGTAGTAATAGAAACGATTAGGTATAGGAGGGGGAAAAGTACAGGGTTTGGAGGCCCAAGAGTGAAAGGAAGAAACAGAGCTAATGCGTCAGTACCATTGAGGTAGATGATGGCTGGGGATATGTACCACACAACACGACCATCTCGGTCGATGAAGATTCACAACTTCATCAACCAATTTCTCGTATTTACTTAGTGCCCGATGTCTAGCACATCACTGCCCACTCAGCTGTCCCAAAATACACGAGAGATGGTTTGGAGACATTTATGAAAGGATATAAGTAACTTAAGAGTATCCATTCTTAATGGTCATGCTCCACGCCTATAAAGTAGAACAGAGCGAACCGTTGAACATTAAAATCATCCTTCGATTGGTAGATGAACATTTCACCCACGCTACAAATGGTGCAGCTTGGGAAAAGCCAGATGAGTTTTCAGGATTCATGTCGAGATTTCGTTAGACATCAACCCACAAGGGGTGACAAGACCAATATAAGTGAAACGAAAAATGAACAAGTACATTGAAAACGTACCAAGCATTGTTAAAATTACGTGATATTTAATTTATGAAAAGTAATTCATTTACGAAGCACAGATTTATGTACTTGATATTGAGTTACAGGTTTTCTACGATGTGAGAACTAGGGACAATAATGTCTAGCCATTGACATCAAATTAAGATTAACCTGGTCAGAACTTGTTACTCTATTGTTTCAAAACTCAGTGATTTGATCATTAGATTATTTATTACAATTTTAGTTAAATAATTTAACAAAATTTTATTATTTGATAGATTTCTGACTAAGGAAACTAATAAAATAATCAACATGTTCTAAGTAGTATAAAATTTTTGAAAACAGGTATTGTGCAGGTGCACAATAAAATGTTAACAAAATCTTCCACAATAGCAATTTGACGCTTCCATCTATATTTTGATGTTAAAATTCTATTGTACTAACTTGATGAGTATGATAAGAATAGAGAAATAAGATGGAAATTACAGGTTTGACGGATTGGCATCACCATCTACTGTATCTCACATGACATCATACATTATGGTTTGATTTTAAGCTACTAAGCAGCAGGTTCAAAAGCTGCTCCAGATAATATGGTTTGGAAAACCGAATAGTATCACCAGCTCTCAAACCTACAGTGTAGTTCAAAGTCAAGTACCTGGTTGATGAGTTGATAATGATGATAAATTATCTACATGTATTTTTCCTGTATACTAGAAGTTAATGGTTACAACTGGTTTGTCAAATACAGGTTTATGTACACGGTTTCGGGCAACACTGTTTGTATATAACAGCCAACCTAAACCGAAAAAAGTGGGGCGGGGTTCAAACTGGTGATGTACTGGTTCAAAGCCAAGAAACTTAACGAACTAAGCCACCGCTCTATATGAGTCATGTCCATATTTTAAACTTGGTTATTAATATTGTAAGGATTTGATCGAACGCTTCTGACACAGACACATAAAGTCGTATTATTTTATATTTAAATTACTTTATAATGCAAAAACTGGTTTAATAAATAAAAAGTATGTCATTTCAGTACTTATATATATATAACTATTTTATAAAACGACAATAAATAGTACCTGAATCTACACTCAAACATTCCACAGAATGTTCACAATTTAGATGTTTATTACTTTTTGGATTTTCAACAACTTTTGTCAACTCAAGAAGATCAGGCAGACGAATAGAAGCTTTATACTTTTTACGTTGACCAGTGTTTGAATCGTAGGTGAATCTAAGCAACTGAATGCATAACAATGGTGGAGCACGTGTTATATAGGCTCTTCTAATACCATCTCGTTTACAACCACACTGTGAACAAGCATACTGATTATCGCCAACTAATTGTTCTTCCTATAGAAAACAATAAATATGATGAATTCAGTAGACGGAAAAACAGCCAACGATGACGACATTGAACTAATAAATTAAAACAATGAGGTCAGAAAATAGGCAATCGAGGAGAGATTAACTTTACATGAACATTCATTCATCCATGAGAAAATATGCACATACTCATAGAGGGCCATCATTTTTTAAAAGTTTATAACCATTCATGATGGATTCGATAACTTATCAAGTTAAAGAGCTTTTTGAGGTAATCTAAGTGGAAAGCCTCAATATTAATCAATGATAAAAACCGATTTCACTCGTTATTTGGAATCCTCATCTAAACCAACGTAGGACTTCTTTAAAAAGGACATATTCAGATGAAAACCGTGAATATCTTCAAGTTACACAATAACAACAATATTTGGTTTGTTCAGTATCATAAGTCTAAATACACAAAAGGATTTTCAGCAGAAAATATGCAAAATTGCAACCAAATTCCCGTTTTATAAGCATTAAGTTTGTGAATATTAAAAAATATGTATAAAAAGTCTTTAAACATCCATCAGAATGTAATTATATTCAATCACATATGTCTATGATCAGTCTTGCCTCATCGTACATAGTGGAATGCGTTATCCGCAAATCCGGAAGTTCTTGGATCCGCATTGCTGAGGAGTCACAAACTAGAACGATACAGCTGCACTATTGTCTTATTTCGATACATTTTTACTGAACTAATAACAAGATATAATAAAGAGCAATCCATATATATATGCTAGCAACCTTGTAGAGTACATGGAATATGATAGATTCCTAACAAAAGACATCAATAGGGTATACTTTCGAAAGAATGAACTTTATGCTTTTTGTACAAAAGAATCTTAATTAGCAATCAGAGGATGACTTTACTTGACCCATGAATTTAATCACTGCCAACTTAAAGTGTTTATATATGTAGCTAAGATGAAATAAACATCACCTTTAAATAATCCCGTATACAATCTGGAAGTGACTTTGAAGAAACTTTCAATGATAGTTCTAAAAACTTTGAAGGCAACCGAGATGTGAAACCGCATTTCAGACAGCTAAAAGCAAAAATAAGTATAAAGAGAAAAGATCTAATTGGCTAAAGTAAATATCATACAAACGACGTTATGGAAAGATCAGTTGGAAGCGTTAAATACACAATATAAAGATTAATAACAGGGGTGGCGAAGTTAGAAACTTACTGATCATTAGTTGCATTACTTAAATACAATCATAGAAGCTTAAGTGGTGATAACGACTTTGTTTACACTTCACTTATTTTTGGAATTTTCTTGTATCACTGAAAAGTTTTCATACAACTTGGTTGCAGGATTATATTGAAAATTGCTCCAGAGCTCAGTTGGCAAAAGCTTGAATCAAGGATCATTTTAAGAACAGAGAAAACCTGATCAATACAAAACGACACCAAATGACACCAAATTCGACCAAGCATGAAAATATCTACGACAAGAATTATTAGCAATGAAAAAGAATCTCGGTAACCTAAAAAAATACAAGTTATTGACAAACATAGGAACAAAAATCAAACCAATGGGAGATACAACCAAAACAAAGAAGTGAACAATGACAAGTTTAAGGTCGACAAAAAACAATCAACACCGAGGTGTACAGGACAAGCTGTGAACCATATGTAGAGAAATTCGAACACTTCACTCCTGCCTGAAGTTTGTGCTGATGCTGTCGTTCAGAAGTACTATGAAAGTTCCACGACCAAACCATCCAGATCAGAAAACAAAACTCCATAAAAATCATCCACCTTGGCTACAAATCTCCACCATCTCAAATTATTAGCAATAATTCAGTGATAATCTGGGAAGCAGCAAAAATGACCGTCGGAAACCCTTCAGTGCCATTAGAAATTTAGAACTAAGTAACCAACAGAATAACTTTGTCAAAAGATGTCTAAATTATGTAGACTAGAGGATGTAACAACAAAAGAACGAATTGAACATCAATTAAAGAGGCGTTACACCAAACAGTATTCCCATTTACGCATTTGTGAACATAGATTAATAATCAAACTCCAAGAAATATTATCCGTATTGACAACCACGCACAAACGTTTGGGCAGCAAGATATCACAGATTTTGCATAGTAAAACCAAAAATGATAGAGAAACGAAAAGAACGTCGAATATAATAAATAACTTCAAATTAATCTCCGATCAATCAGTATGATGACTTGAACTACCTATCAACAAACTATTTGGAAATAAACCGTTTCCCAAGAATTGGACCCGAACAAGCTTGAAAAGGATTTTTTAAGACGCTACCCCGAATTTTTAAAACATTCTTACATAGCTAAACTCCGGGCATCGAAAGTTGTATCTCTAAGGTCTGGTTTTCAAGATCATCATTAAATTTCTAAGAATACCTACATGTTTCTCACTGTAATATTGTCGACAGGGTGGTAATAAAACGCCTGATTTATTTGTGTTCTCAATTTTTAGGGGCTGGGTCAGAGAGTTAATTGGACAGTAGTGCAAGGTTCGGCTGAAAATTATATGCGTCATCATATCATTATTTCAAACTCAATAGTCTCCAACTAGGTCATAACAGATACAGTAAAGGTTAATCAAGAACAGTATAAAAGACCGTTCTAAAGAAACAGACGGTGAAAATGCAGACACACATGAACATTAATAAAACTTCTGAGGTCAGCCAATCAGAAATAATATTATTGAGGCAAATTGATTTGATAATTGTGCAGAATTTCCTAAAACCTGCTTCTATTAGAGATTGGTATTGATGATATTATCTAAACTAAAGAAAACTTAACAACCAAAATTTTCAGGTTAAACGTTGACGTATAATCTAAAAATTATATTCCATTCAACCCTGATGTTCATTAAATATAAACTTCATCAGGCATTGCTATAATGTCCTTACATTCAATTACCATCTTCGAACTGTAAATTAATGTTAAAGGATAAGTGAAAGCTTGTGTTTGTAGTCAGCTTCAGCCACAAATAACTGGAGGTGGTCAAAAGGTTTGAGTGTCTGGATAAACGTACGTGCTGATAATTTATATCAGGTGAGGTCACAAAGGCATATGATAATTTAGACTATATTTAATCCTGTCTGAAAATTACTTTGGATGTAAAACATTGGGTTAGAAATGAACTTAGTTCTGAACGCTTATGAGACAGTGTTTCAAAATTGTTGTTCGATAGGTTTTATTTTCAATTACCACAGCCCCAATATTATTTTTGATGCTTTTACACATACATATATCAACACGAAACTGAGTAAGAATCAAGACAGCACGTTACTAAAACAGTAGCAATTACAGCAGATATTAATAGTAGAATAGTATTCAAATAAACTGAATGAGGCGTGTTTAAGTACAAAGGAAAGAAGAGAAACAAACTGGTGCGATTCCCGAAGTTCATGGAAAATAAGGATGGATTCGTATTGAGTTTCCATCATGCCGTTTAGGATCTTTAACCATTAATGCCAAACCAACTGCTGGTCCCAATCCAGAGACTTAAACAATAACTGTATGGGTAATAAAAAACCGACTACTAACTCTGAGAAATTCAAAGACACTAAACAACTTAGTTGTTTCGATTCAGTAACTATTCTACTTTCACAACGCTAACACCAGACTCATAATGTTTACCTTACAATTGAGCCACATAGCACAGAGAACGAAAACTTTGACAAATTCATCCACCCAGACAACAACTTTTCTCCTCCATTTCAATACTTTACCATTTCACCAAGAAAAAGTACACCATTAATCCATAGAATTGGGTCACCATAAGATTGTACATTGATTTAACGGTCTCGATAGTATAATTGTAACCTCAAGTAATACATATAACATTAAATCATACGATACCTTCACAGTTCTGACTGTAGTTTGTCGAATTATTGATTAGTAAATTTTCCAATAATGAAGGATCTTTGAAAAACAGGAAGAGACGTTGAGTAAAGTCGCCCAGTGGAGAACATTTCGCACAGAAATAAAGAATGCATGAAATTAAACACTTTTTAAAGAAAAATACCAACTACGCAGATCGATGATGGATAGAACAACTAACCACCAGTGCATATACTCTTTTATCCTCTTCTCTACTGCTTAAATCAATAGTGTAAACTACTATTATTAAAATTGTAGTGTTTGGATAGAAACAATAGATTGTAGTTAGACATAGTATCTAAAATACTGGCCTCGATAATTATCAGACGCCTAACTAAGACTCGTGAACTACAAACTCGAGAGAACCAAGCTGGCTTTAGACCTGGTCGTGGCTGCATCGACCACATATTCACCATTCGTCAGGTTCTAGAACACAGGCATACCTATCGGCGTCCGACGATGGTGGTCTTTCTTGACTTAAAAGCAGCGTTTGACTCTGTAGACCGCGAGACTCTGTGGCAGTGTCTGTCATTGAAAGGCGTACCTCAGAAGTACATAAACCTTGTGAAGGCTCTTTACTCGAACACTACTAGTCGAGTCAGGGCTTATGGCGAACTGTCATCTACTTTTGCAACTTCAAGTGGTGTCCGTCAAGGCTGTCCACTTTCTCCATTTTTGTTTAACATCATCATAGACCTATTGATGGAAATAACACTCTCGTCGACTGAATTCTCGGGTATTGATCTCCTTCCAGTAGGTCCACTTATCGACTTAGAATACGCAGATGATATAGTCCTGTTTGGTGAAGACGCTGACAAAATGCAGAGTCTTCTGGTAGCACTAAGCAACAATGCTAGAATGTTTGGGATGCGCTTCTCTCCCTCTAAATGCAAGTTGTTGCTTCAGGACTGGTGTGCGTCAACACCTGAACTAAGGATAGGGAGTGAAGTAGTCGAACGCGTCGACAACTTCACTTATCTTGGAAGTCTGATCAGCCCTAATGGGTTGGTGTCTGACGAAATCTCAGCACGGATTCGAAAAGCTCGTTTGGCTTTTGCCAACTTACGTCACCTTTGGCGGAGGCGAGATATCCGTCTATCAATAAAAGGACGAGTATACTGCGCGGCAGTCCGTTCTGTTTTACTTTACGGCAGCGAAACATGGCCTTTAAGAGTAGAAGACACCCGTAAGCTACAAGTATTTGACCACAGATGCCTTAGAAATATTGCTGGCATCTGCTGGGATCACCGGGTAAGTAATAGTGAGGTTAGACGCAGGGTATTAGGGAATGATGGTAAATCAGTTGATGAGGTTATGAATCTTCATCGACTGAGATGGTTGGGCCACGTATTACGTATGCCTGAACACCGATTACCACGACGTGCAATGCTAACCGGTGTAGGGGATGGTTGGAAGAAAGTTAGGGGCGGCCAAACCAAAACGTGGCATCAGTGCTTGAAGTCACTAACTTCTAGTCTGAGCCATGTTGGTAGATGCAGACTACTTGGTTGGGGTCCGCGTGACTATCGTAACCAATGGTTGGAGACTCTTGGTGACATGGCTCAGAATCGATCACAATGGCGTCGGTGTATACACTCCCTGTCTTCCCTTAAACTAAGAGATTAAATAACTTCATATCTTTCTTTCTACGAACTAATTCTTCCTTCCTATACTATATCCTTATTGCAACCTTTGACCTAACCACTGCTATGAATCCGGTGTCCATCTTGTTGTGCTAATGAGGTATGGCAACCTGGACCGATGCACATATGTGCCTGGTCCTACGTTGTAGCTGACTGACTGACTGTAGTTAGACGGAATGACAATCTGTTAAGTGTGTACTTCTTTCATGATAGTTTGGTCAGTAATCAGGAAAATATTTGTTATTTGAAGCAAAAGAAATAGGTAAAACGACAGATGGATTATAAGAAAAAAAAGCACGCACACAACTGAGGAGGAGAAGGATATCAACTTTGAAATCCTTTTGTTTTTTTAAAAAGGATAAGTATGACATCAATAAGATAGATTTCGTTTTGTCAACGAAGTGATATACATGAATATTGACAGTTTGACATAATTATTTAGTATCTACTACTTCGAATAGAATTCAGCTGTAAAAAATCTGGGAAAAGTTTTACTAAAAAAGAATGATTTTGTAATTAGATACATATACTTCTATCAAGAAATGAATATAGAGGGAAAGAAATCTTTGTGATTAAGGAAGGGAACAATTATAGCTAGTTAGATGAACTTTAGGAAGTTTATTTCACGAATAAAAACAACCATTTTCGTTTAGTCATGATAAACATTACAACTGAAAAATCGGTCAAAGATAAAGTTTTCCTTACTTTCCGTCTGTGAAACCTTCTAGTCTCAAACAACCAAGAACTAAGAAATACCTACAAGACAAGAAAGCTATCTAGGGTTGACAGTAATATAAAAGGGTTTTCCATAATCGAAGACGATTATATGCATCAACAAATAAACATTGACAGCTTCGAAATGAAATATTTATGAAGTTTCAAGAGGAAACTGTGACCAAGCAGCAACGAAGGTAGTTACTCTTCAATGTCATTGGATGGTAGTCAAGTTATATTAGAAATTGACTGAACCTGATAAATTTTGGATCACAACTCAACGGCGAAATGGTACAGGTCAACTGTGGGAGTTATAGACTTCCTTTAAGGGAGCCTGAGAATTAACAACCTTCCAATGCTTCCTGCTCTACAATAATTTTCCCAAGTATCAGTGTATGAAGAGAATTAACAAATGCAATAAACTTAGTGTTACCACCACTGTTGCTATTACTATTGCGAATACTAATACTGATTCAGTCTGCGTAGTCATTAAGGAATAAGCCATAACAGTGAAATACTGATGTATCACTCACCTATTTTCATAAATATATTCTCCTCTAATCAAGTCGTCAATAACAGATACACCAACTTGCTGGAAACGTGCTTCTAATAAATTCATAAATAAACAATGGAACTCAGGAGCATCCTGAAAAAATTAACACAATTTTTAAAAAATGCAGCAAATTCGTTGTTTGGAAGAATTTAAATAAGAAATTACTGCGTTACTGCATGAACGAAAATTATACTGTGAATTGTCAGTAATGTCTTATGCGATTAAAATCAGCATGTATATACCGCAAACACGTATTTTCTTACTTGTTGCTCTGTATCACACAACCGCAATGCTTCAATCAAACCTCCTGGATCAACAATACTAAGAAATGAAAAAAAAATACAAGGTGAGTGGTAATTAATGTCAATCACTAATAAAATGAATAACACAATGCCTACAATGTCTAAAAAAAGGAGGAAGTTGAAGTTGAAAACTTCAGTGTTTGAATAATTAATAGCTTATGAAGAGTTGTTCAATTTCAAACAAGAAACAATGTCGACTACATATATAAACAATAAAAAGGAGAAATATTGAAGTAGGATTTGCCAACACTTTGACTGCCATTGACCTCATTCTAAACAATTCTATTAGTAGTGGTTATAGATACATTTGTAAACTCATAGTTGCACATCAGTTCCTTTAAATGGACAGTTAATTGTTGAAGAATAAAAGCCTAATCGAAATTTGTTATATTTATTAGATGTGTATTTACGATTTTTGAACTACTTATGACACAACGTATAATTACCGCCAACTAGAAAGATGATGGGGTCCCATAAAATCGAGTAGAAGCGAAGCAAGCAGGTGATAGTGATAATAAAATGTTTAACGTCCGAATCAAATATTTCTGTTTTCACCCTGGATTTTTCCAACTTAAAATCCACCAGTTACAAATATCAGAATCTAAAAAGTAGAATGTACAAACACACTTTGTGTCGATATACATACACACATATATTTAAATAAATATGTGTTAAAACAGAGAGAAATCGCTTCAAAGTAATCTGAATAAACAAATTTACCCTGAATTGTTTAACTGAAGTTGACTGAATATTAATTGTAGCTGGTGTATTATACCGGTTTCGTCAGCTGTAAAATAGGATAAACAAGTAAACAAGTCAATTGGTACTGGATAAAACACGAAGACAGTTTATTTTTATCACCGATTGATATCGACCATAAGACCATAGAAAATAAAAAAGCATTGAAAGGTTTGTTTATTGTTGTTTAAAGAGTCTGGTTTTCCATAGTTTTTCTACTAATGTCTATCTCTAAATTTTAAAAATCTGCGTAAATAATATTGTATAAAAGTGTTTTTATTATTTACGGCTGATATGTTCAAAATAATTAATTTCATACCTTGAAATTGTCATTAGCTACGAATCAAATATCCCGATGTAGATGAAAACTACTACTTTATCTCCTAATTCCTAATTAATTTTGACCAAACAACCAACTATAGATACATCTAGTGTGAGTGGATCTACAAAAGGAAAGGGTTCCCTTTTGTATGGAGCTGAAGATATGGATAAACGATTTTATTTAAACAAATCATAGGTAGACTAAGGTTATAATAGCTCGGTCAGTAATAATGGGAAACTTGAAACTCGACCTAAGTAATTATTGAGATATTTCAAACAAAACAAGTGGACAGTATAAAACACTGGGGTTACTAATGCACAAAACTTTATGAATAAATAACCCACCTTGTGATGGGATATCATATATTGCTTTTCGAAGTTCCTTGAACCGAAAATAAAGCTGCAAAAATGCATTTAAGTAACACGTACTCCCATAATTCTTCAAACCATTACGGCTATGCTAAATGTTTAAAACAGAAGAACATTGACAGGAAAAAATACATTAAAGATGCATATTATTTCACACTCCAGTTTATTTTAATCAGAGCCAAGATAAGAACGTGAGTTTTGTAGTAAGCTTCAAGGTCTTACCAAAAGAATCAACTCGGAACTTATTCACAGAAAAGTATGGATATGAAATGTGGCGCGACCTCGAATGGATTTTTAAAGTATTATGTACGGTCAGCTTATGTGCATGAATCAATGTGTGGAATGAAAAATAGATTAAAATACCAGAATGATTAGATGCGTATACATTTGGCAATAACATAAAATTGTAATTCAGCAACATCTTACAAAGTTGTTGACTAAGTTAGAATGTATTTACTGTGAGAACCAGTGTTATCATCTGACTTCCTGAATTTATTAATTGTAGCAAATACAGGCAAAATATGCAGGAGGAAATCAAAAGGGACAGGACTTTAAACAAGGAGGAAGCCTGCACACTACAACCGTCGGATGCCAACCCAGTGGTCTAGAGGTTAAGCGTTCACTTGCGAGACTGAAGGTCCTGGGCTCGAATCCCACGTGCTAGATCGTGGATGCGCACTGCTGAGGAGTACCGCAGCAGGATGAATCGGTCGTCCAGTGCTTCCAGGTTTTTAGCGATGATCTAGCACTGGTCGATTCATGATCTCAATCAGAAAGGAGAGAATTAAATCTAAGGTGAATGAGATGCTCACGAATTATAATGATTACACTATCATTCTGACTGGTTTGAAAATATATAGGTCATGGTCCGTAACTTATGATTTTAGAAAACCATTGGGCCCAGCCAAAACCCTAAATTTTCTTGAGTCAAAGGCTAAAGTGAATGACTTTATAGTGACCTTAATAACAATTGATTACTTCGTTAACAGGATTAGGCAGTATATTCGGAACTATACTTTAATCCCAACATTGTTGTTGATAAGATTCAACAACACCTGAAAAACACTGTGAAGTTGTGGCTGAATACTTGTAACCCATGTAGACTTTATTCTTCACATCTCGGTAGTAGTTTGTTAAAAACGACTACTGTACAGTATAAATTTTCTTGAATAAGCTAGACATTGTTCGAGTGCTATGAATGACGAAAGATGTTAAAAAGCAAATGTTTATTAAAAGTTCATGCTGGGATTTTGGTCAATCAAATTTTGTTGGGGCTGATAAAGTGACTAATTCATGTTATTATTATAGATTCTTCTTACAAACCAGATTTAGAAATAAGAAACAATATGATTAGTACCAATTAAGGTTTAAAAAAAGTCGCTTTATTGTTCCTAACATAGGTGTGCACTTTGACTCACATTGCTAGTTTTGATTGAAAACATTTAAGAACCTTCTACATGATCGAACAAAACTAAGTCTAGTATTTAAAGTTTTCCATAAAAATGATTAGCCATTCTTCTCAAACAGACAGGTTATAAACTATATCTAACCTTTCATTCTTTTTTTGCACAATATATACAATTTAGAGTATATTTAATAAGACTGTATATTCATCACACTACTCCAAAACGCTGGTTTTGTTTCCCAGTTTTAGTAATAGTTTTAAATATATGGGGGGTAATATCACTGACACAAATTTCTTAACTAATAATTCACACAAACAGCAACCAAGGACGTAAGAAAGGATTATTGGAACAAGTGTGTGTGAGAATCACAGGTGTTAAGCCCAGGTAACGAAAGCCTTTATTGCCAGTTATGCATAAAATATATTGGCCAAACCATACTATGTGGGAAACAAGTACGTGTTCACTGTAAAAGCTGTAAACTGAACATTTTTAGTCAGATACAACCTACTTTGACAATAAATGGTGGTTTTAACTGTGAATTCGCAAAACAGTAGCAACTTTTCAAATGATTTTATTTTAGGAAGCCTACAAGGAATTATGTTAGATATAAGCACAACTTCGAATATCATGAACATAGTTTCTAGCTCGGAAGAGTTACTAGAATATCAAACAAATAAGGGGAAAGGATCTACACCCTAAGATTATGCTTTGTCGTCACGTGGACTCAAAAAATTCATGTAATAATAAACTTACCGTCAGTAAATTTTCAACAGGAGACTCTGGTTCAGTTTTGTCACATGTTTCTTCGTTCAGTACATTTATTTTGAGTAAGCCATTTAGGCAAGAAGATAAGTATTTACATGTCGTTCTGTTGAAGAAGTGAAAGATATAATTTAGCTAATCGGGAAACGTTAGAGTACTTATTTATAGGAAAACATATCTAGATGACAAAGGTTTCTAAGAACTAGTAGTTTCACCAACGATATCTGCAGTTTTCAGCATGGAAATTTGCGAGTAACTTATGTGGTTACTTCGAGTGTAACAGTAGCAATCTACCAGGAATGTTTACAAGGATCAGACGAACTGTACGGAAAGCAATGTCACTTTTACTTATGTCTGAATTAGATCTCAAAATTAGGATATACAGGTTACGAGCTACGTCACGTATCATGATCAAATCCTTATTATCACTCAGATTGCGGGTTACTACTTCAATGCTTCCATGAAGACTGCATAAATCAGGATAACCTGAACGGTTAGTGTGATAAAAGCTAACTGGCAGCATCTAAGCTCAGAAGTTTGACCCAAGTCAACATGCATTTGTGGACTATGTTAAAAACATACATCGGCCTATGACTTACTGGCAATTCCCAAAAGAACACGCAGGTTGATTAAATCTATATACTGTCCGTACAACATCTGTATTAACAATGACAGGAGCGTTTTCAACTTTGTTCCATAAACACTGAAGGTGGTGTCTCCTAAACCATGAAAAATAGTCAAAAATATGAAACAAACTCACATCACAAAACTTTCTGTCTATATTTTAGTCGTAAGGAAGATGAGTTGTCAAGAGGTACGTCGTTGTTAGGCAATTTGCTGATGTGTACGTTCAGTATTCTCCAAGAGAACAAAGGAGAAATTCTGGCTATTATTTGATGATCAAACAAAATTTGCTTACATCTGGTAACAATGAAACTATCCAGCGATAATATTGACTAATTCCTTGTATTTCTGATGCAACCTAGACGTCCATATGAAACAAATTGTAGTGTCTCAACCAAACCAATAAGCGCGCCGACCTTCGAAGTCGAATGCAAGGTTAGTTTCGAGTGGATTAAGGAACTGAACTATTTTCTACGACCCTCGGTTGACAGACATAGCACAAAAGATCTTTCTGAGGATGGGTATTTTTAGAAGTATGTCAATGATATGAAATAATGTAGGAACAAACGGTTAATTGACTATGAAAATAAATTTTCCGTTTGATTTCGTATATTTTATCCAGGCTAACCTCGTTTAAGATATAATGGTTTTAAAATGCCGAATACCAAGATAGAAGAATCCATTTCAGACATAAATCGTGCCTACAGGTGATAAAAGGTGCAAAACGGAGGAAAAATGTGACGACTCATTTTATTTAAATCATGATTTAATATTTATGGGTGTGAAGAGTACAGGTAAACGTGTAGACACATACGTGCTAACGTACACACGTATAGATTAAAGAAAGATTTTAAAATATAGGGTTGTTCATATGTCTAAAATTAGGATAAGTCATTTAAGCGTTAGTAGACGGCAGTGTTAGATAATTTGTCCGCAGTTTCTGTAACAATTAAACATATTACTCATTTATTTACGCCTGTTACTCCCAATAAAGAATAGGTCGCTGACCAACATTCTCCAACCTGCTCTTTCTTGAGCCTTCCTTTCTAGTTCTATCCAATTGTTGTTCACACTTCTCATGTCTGTTTCCTGATCGTAACTGCTACCTTGAAGTGGTGGTCGGGCTTACCTATCGTGACGACCCAAACGAGCTATATTGGCTGGAACATATGTCCCTGTAGGTTCTACCATACCACGCAGGTCGACTGAAGAACTGTAAGACTGAAAACAGCAACTCAATGTTTGAGGGCGAAGTAATACTGCTGAATGTAGAGGGGTATAATAACAGTAAGGTGTTTCCCTCGAGGCAACTAGCATCTGCAGTGATGCTGCCTTCTCACAATGAAGGAATGTTTTGGAGAAGGTCGACTATAAAAATACTACAACTAACCTTACCTCACAGATTTCAGTCTTTGGCAGTAAGGCCAGAGACAAAAAGGCTGTGCGCGACCGGCCTCAAACAGTTGTCCCTTGGGTTCTGTGGTCACGCTCCCAGGTCGTTAAGACCAACACTAATCCAATTTTCTTTTCAGGTTCCTCGAAAAATACCATTCCACGTTGTGGGAAGCCGGAAAGTAACATCAGCCCTCATACCCGTAACAACACACGAGACCAAGTTGGTCACATTCAAGTCCTTCCTACACCTCCTAAAAACTCTCCTATCTCCACGACTAATCAATATCACGTTCATTTTCACCTTGCACCGTTAGTGCAAACGATTCGAGTACGCGGGACTTTATTCCTGGTCTCTTGACACCACGCTCTAAACTACATATAGTAGCTTTTAACGTCCGAACACTATGCCATATAGGACAACAAGCCTCCTAAGCTAGGACTTTAGGATCTCGCACCATCGATGTGTGCCGCGTCTCCGAAAGGCGCATCGTCACTAATTCGACTCACCATATCAAAATAAAGAACAACGCCGATCAACACTACGTGTATCTGGAAGCCCTTATCCTGCTGCCCGTAGCCTCGCTGGTGTAGTTATAGCATCGACTACTAGGGCAGAACTAGCTCTCTTAGACTGAATTCAAGCGGACAGTCGCTTGTGCGCTGTCCGACTAGACGGAACAGTAAGGACTCGGAAAGATAGGGACACTCGTCATTGCCTATTCGTCGTCTCTGCCTACTCCCCCACTGACTGCAGCTCAGATGATGTAAGTGATGAGTTTCACAAAAAGCTTTCCGACCTTCTCCAAAACGTTAAGCGCCTCGATGTAGTGGTAGTTACTTACTTACGCCTGTTACTCCTAATGGAGCATTGGCCACCGACCAGCATTCTCCAACCCACTCTGTTCTGGGCGTTCTTTTCCAATTCCATCCAATTATTGATTATTTTTCTCATGTCTATTTCCATTTCCCGGCGTAATGTGTTCTTTGGTCTTCCTCTTTTCCTTTGGCCTTTAGGATTCCATGTGAGGGCTTGCATGGGACGCAGTGCGGCGCTCTCCTCAATGTGTGTCTTATCCACTTCCAGCGCTTCTTCCTAATTTCTTCCTCCGCTGGGATCTGGTTTGTCCTTTCCTACAGTTGGTTGTTGCTAATAGTCTCCGGCCAACGGATCCGAAGTATTTTGCGTAGACAACTGTTGATAAACACCTGTATCTTATGGATGATGGCTTTCGTAGTTCTCCAGGTTTCCGCCTCATACAGTAGAACTGTCTTGATATTTGTGCTGAAAATGCTGACCTTGGTGTTGGTTGACAGTTGCTTTGAGTTCCAGATGTTCTTCAGTTATAAATATGCTGCTCTTGCTTTATCGTTCCGTGCCTTCATATCTGCATGGGGTCCACCATGTTCACCAATGATGCTGCCCAAATATGTAACGGTTTTTACATCTTCCAAATCTTCTCCGTCAATTGTGACTGGATTGGTGCATGTAGTGTTGTATCGGAGAATCTTGCTTTTCCTTTTGTGTATACTGAGATCTATTGCTGCTGAGGCTGCTGCTACACTGGTCATCTTCTCCTGCATTTGTTGTTGCGATTGCGATAGGAGTGACAGATCATCTGCGAAGTCTAGATCGTCCAGCTGCATTCTAGATGTACACTTTATCCCGCGTTTCCCTTCAGATGTTGACGTCTTCATGATCCGGTCGATCACCAGGAGAAAGAGAAAGGGTGGGAGTAAGCAACCTTGCCTGACACCGGTCTTTACCGCGAACGAGTCTGTCAGCTTATTGTGCTCCTTGTGGCCCAGAACCTCATGACATGTTGAAGTGATTGCCTATTTTATCCCCTTCCAGTTGCTCGCCATAGTAGTTCCTTCTCCATTGAGTAGATCATGAAAGGCCTGGAACTTATTGCTGAGGACTATCTTGACTTTGTTGAGTTTGTCAGTATCCCAGAGAAAAGTCGTATTAAACTTCTGTGATATTGTCCGCCCCGTTGTGCAGTGCTTCTTGAGTTTCAATTTCATCTTGGCGACAAGCAATTGATGATCTGATGCTATATCAGCTCCTCTCTTGATTCTCACATCCTCTATAGTCCTCCTGAACTTTTTGTTGATGCAGATATGGTCGATTTGGTTTCGCGTAGTGTGATCCGGTGAAGTCCATGTGATGTTGTGAATGCGCTTATGTGGGGATATAGTTCCGCCCATGACCGGTTTATTGAAGGCACATCGGTTTGTTAACCTCTCACCATTCTCGTTCCTTTCTCCCAGTCCGTGTCGTCCATTCCAAACTTGGCATTGAAATCTCCAGTCCGAGTGGTCAAGTCCTTTTTTGGACACGTCTCGACGATTGACTGCAACCTATCGTAGAATTGATCTTCATTGTAGTCGTTGGTAAGCGCATAGCATTGGATGACGTTCATTGAAATGCCCTCTCTCTTTGTTTTGAAGGAGGCTTTGATGATCCTTGGTCCATGAGATTCCCATCCTATAAGTGCATTTTGTGATTGTTTGAACAGCATCAATGCAGCTCCTTGTGTATGTGGAGCATTTTCTTCTTTATGACCAGAGTATAACAGAAGCTCCCCTGAAGCTAGTCGTTGTTGTCCAACTTTCGTCCAATTTGTTTCACTGATCCCAAGCACCTCTAGGTTGTATCTCCTCATTTCTGTAGCAATTTGGAAGACTCTCCCAGTCTCCCATATTGTACGAGCATTCCATATACCTACATTAACGATTACTCTGGTTGTTAGAAGGGGCATCGACCTCGTAACTTCCGAAGGAACTCGGCTTTCATCATGTGGCGTCATATTTCTTCTAAATGAAGACCTTCTGACTCCCAGGGCAGAGTTAAAAAGGTTTAAATAATTTTTTCTGGTTGGCGTTTTTTAGCGAGTTAGTTTTCTACGGAATAAGGTCGCTAACCCCATGCCCATGCCCAGCCCTCCTCCTTTATCCGGGCTTGGGGCCTGCAGTGGCCCCCGGGGGGACTCCAGGCGGAGTTATGTAGTAGCAGTTGCTGGTGGCTCTATTGTTCAAGTTGGTACACTAAGCGCAAAGAAAAGACACCTGGATGGATTTTATGCTATCTTGGTTCAAAGAACAAATAATGGCGACTGTCTGTTGCCGCTATGCTCAGATAACCGCCTGTTTCTTGCAAATACTAACTTTAAGCATAAGGTAAAACATATTTTGACATGGAGACCTCTTAATTCTTCCCAACGTTGGACCCCACTAGATCACATCGCTATCAGCTACCGATAGAGGGGCTCGATAGAAGGCTGTCGCTCAATCTGGAGAACATGCTTAAATTCAGATCATGCTCTAGTGTGAGCGCGTATTTGTCTACGTCTTACTGTACGTAGGAAAGACGCTGCAAGGAAACTTCTTAAGGTCCTACCTAATGATAGCCAAGCTAAGAGTATATTTCAGGGACAACTAGGAAAACAGTCGGACAGCCATGAAAGTGACACTCAACCCGAGGCGTGTTATGATAATATGATATGATGTCCGAAAAGTTATGAAATCAGCAGTGATACCTGCCAGTAAGGTAAACCATAAAGTTAGGATGAAACACTGGATCCCAGCAGCATCTACCGCATCGATAGATGCTCGGAAACTCATTCCATCTGGCTCTGAACATAATGAAGATCAGAGTCAGCTTAAGCGCAAGCTGACAAGAAGTCTACGCAACGATCGTGAACAGTGGTGGGTAGCGAAAGTAAGAGAGATGGAAAAGGCAGCGGCAATAGGTAATAGCATAAAACTGTTCAGATTTGCCATGGAAATTGGTATCGGAATCCAACTGAAAGAGAAAGAATCTCATAGAAAGATGGACATATTATACATTTTCAATCCAGGAGATTGAATCGATGGGCGGAATACTTTAGCGATCGGTTCAACTGGCCTTCAGCCACACTTCGGTTTCCCACGATCTCCAGTCAACCTGAATCGCAAGTTAATTTAGGTCCTCCGACTCTTTACAAATTTTAAAAAGCTATAAGAAATCTGAAGCGAGGGAGAGCAGCAGGCCCTGACAGGTTTACTCCTGAGACTTTTAAGGATGGTGGATCAGCATTAGCAGTGAGATTAACTGAGCTCTTAGGTAGAATTTGGAAACTGAATAGTCTCAACCACTGATTGTGCCAGTCTATACGAAAGGAAAAAGGTCCTCTTCTGACAATCACAGAAGAATCAGTTTGACTAATATAGTGTCTAAAATATTAGCTTCAATGATACTTCGACGCCTAACCAAAGCTCGTGAAGAGCAGACTAGAGAAAACCAGGCTGGCTTTCAACCTCGACGTGGTTGTATAGACCAGATATTCACACTACGTTAGGTCCCAGAACATAGACACAAATTCAGACACCCCACAATAATAGTACTTATCGAACTTAAGGTGGCATTTGACTCTGTTGATCGTGAGGTTCTATGGCATTGCTTGTCATTGGAAGGAGTACCGAAGAACTACATTAACCTTGTAGAGGCTGTCTACTCAAACTCAACTGGCCGAGTGAGAGTTGATTACCTCAAGTGGTGTTCGTCAGGGCTGTTCACTCTCTTCATTCTTGTTTAACTTTGTCGTTGACGTGCTTTTAGAGATAACACTTCCCTCATCCAAATTTCCAGGGGTTGAACTTCTACCAGGAGATTCACTTGTTGACTTGGAATATGCCGATGACATAGTTCTATTTGGTGAAGACGCTGACAAAATTCAGAGTCTTCCGACCACTCCAAGCAACAATGCAAGCATGTTCGGGATGCGATTCTCCCCCTCAAAATGCAAAATGTTGCTTCAGGATTGGGTTGCATCGACACCCGATCTAATGATAGGGAGTGAAGTAGTTGAGCGTGTCGACCGATTCACTTATCTTGGAAGTCTCATCAGCCCTCGTGGTCTGGTATTTGACGAAATCTCAGCACGGATACAGAAGGCTCGACTAACTTTTGCCAACTTGCGTCATTTATGGCGTAGGCAAGATATCCGTCTATCAACCACAGGACAGTTTGCTGCACAGCAGTTCGTTTCGTCCTATTTTATGGCAGTGAACCATGGCCGGTAAGAGTAGAGGATATTCGTAGGTTACTAGTATTTGATCATAGGTGTCTTCGAAACATTGCTGGTATATCCTGGGACTACCGAGTAAGTAATGTAGTTGTTAGGATGGCAAACCAATTGATGAAGTAGTGAGACTTCATCAGTTGAGATGGCTGGGACACGTGTTACGTAAGCCCAACCACCGACTGCCACGACATGCGATGTTTCATGGTGTAGGTGTAGGATGGAAGAAAGCTAGGGGCGGCCAGACAAAAACATGGCACAAATCCATGAAGTCACTGTCAAGTGGACTAAGTCATGTTGGTAAGTGTGGACTAGCTAGTTGGGATCCGCGAGATGATAACAACCGATGGTTGGAGACCTGAATGACATGGCTCAAAACCGTTTGCGATGATTCAGGTGCATCCACTCTTTGTGTTCTCCCAAACTCTAATCTCCTTGTCTCTTTCC